AAAAAAAATAAAAAAAAAAATAAAAAAAAAAATAAACACATCATGGTAAAATTAATACCTTCTCAGCTTCGCATCGAAGCTAAAAGTATTTCGAATGAAATAAATAGATATATATAATTTATCACACAAAAATGGTATTGATTCAAATATTTTTAAAAAAGTTATGGCAGTTTAAAAACAAAAGAATTGAAAAAATGTCGAAAATTACAGATTTTTAAAATTACATTTTTTTTGAGAATTTCCCTTATTTACAGGGAGTGAGGGAATTTTTTTCAATTTTTGAGAGTAATGTCTTCAACTAGATACAATTTGTGTTATTTAATGTATTGTGCATTAAAATCGGTCCAGTGAGAGCTGAGATTGAGTGGTAACAGTCACAAAATATAAAAAAACATATTATAGTAATAATATTTTCGTATCGAAGCTAAAAACACGTGATTTTTATACATTTGGACATGAGCAAACATAGTGATAGACTCACATTGGGGAGAGCAAGTTAATTAATTTGTACGATTCTATTATATTTTCATAAAATCTATTAAAAATAAGGATTCCGTTACTACTTATGAAGATATTACTAAATTATTAAGTGAACTAAATGATTATGAAGACCTTAGAAAAAGAGAGAAAAAACAAAAATTATAGTATGATGAAAGTCAGTCTAATAATTTTATTAATAATTGAAATGATATTAAGTGTCCGTGAAAATTTCTATATTAGAATTGCAAAAAAGAAAAAATGCTTATGATATATTGGCCAAAATTTGTTTCTTTTTACACAATATAGTGTGCTTACCCTACAGATCTCAGTGTTAGTTTAGTGACTGAAGTAGTACAATTTCACATAAAAAGCTTAAGTATTGATGATGACTTACCAAAATCCATTTTGGATCTCGTATTATGGTTAAAAAAAATTATTTTGTGGTAATATATGCATACTTAAAAATTGCTCTTCGTATGCATTTATCTATGTCTGGCAGTAGTTCCTCTGCTAATTGATCATTTTCAGTATTAGAACGAATTTTAAAATCATACTTGAACGACTACAGGTTAAGAACGATTTAGAACTTTCAATAATTGAATACGAAGTAGTATCAGACATTAATTTTGATGAAGCAATTCAGTCATTTTCAAAGAGTTAAACCAGAAAAATGTTTTATATTTGTTTTATGTTTTTTAAGTGAATTATTAGCTAGGTATATTTGTTTTTACATATTTTGATTTATTAAATTCATATTAAATTATTAGCACCTTATAACAGGAAGTGGCATTAATACCTAATATTTTTTTTTGCTTAAAGGGGTACCTAAGTTTTCCGGTGCGAGGCGTGGGCTTAGTAGCGAGCTCTTTGGAGTCCCGACTAGGGTCCATGATGAACCTGATGTTGAGGAGCCGGGAGGCTCGTTCAGGCGTTCGCCGAATCCGTCTTGAAAAAGAAGGAGGAAGCGGAACACCTGAGACAGTGACAGCCAAGTCGCCCTACACAAGAGGACCTGAGGCGCTGGTTATGCCAGTGCCTTAGATTCTTGTTTTTGTATTGTTTGTAAGATATTTTGTCAACCCTCCATAACGGTTCCCACTCTGGGATCCAGTTAACGGGAGGAGGCCGCTCTGAAGTAATGCCTAACGGGAGTTCTAGGGTGGCCCACAATAATGCCGATCGTTTAAAAAAAAAGGATACCTGAAAAAATTTGGTGTGCCAAAAGTCTAAATGCATAGAGAGAATTAAGCGTCCCCCAATTTTCTCATTCAATTTGAATTTTTTTATGGTAAAGAAATACAAAGGCTATAATAAAATTTGAATTTTTTAATCGGTAATTATGATTTTTATTTATACCCAAAATAATTTGATTGAATATTATTTGATTATTATTATTATTATTATTTTTATATATTTAACGTTCTCTCTGAAAAGCTATGCTTTTGTTTTAGAGAACAGGAAATTCTTCATAGCCCAGCGAAATAAAACGAACTCCCAGTACAAAGATTTCGGGCAAAACGTGTTTCCAACTGAGCTTAGTAGACTGCCCTAATTTGTATCTATGCATTTAATTAAATAAATGTCATTGAATTTAAATATTCAAATATTTTATCTGAATTCTAAACATAATTTATAGTTTTGATTGTTTTTTTTTTAAATCTATTTTCGACTAAACAGTTTTGAAATGGTTTTATTTGAATGAAGTATTATTTCTTAAGATTTATTTAGGATTTTATCAAGAATAGACAAATTTATATCTCAAAAAAATAAAATAAAATCAGAAATGGTGGCTCGTGGGTACTGGTGGTGGGGTTGCGAATTTAAATATAATACCGCTAGTTATAGGTATAAAAAATTGTCAAATTAAATATAATAAAATAAAACACACATTATTATTTTAAAGGTCGCAGTAGAAAATAGAAATGAAAATAATAATAATAGCGATTATACTAATGATGGGCATTTTCGAATATTTTAAACTATCGAATAGGATTCAATAGTTTTTTTTAAAACTATTGAATAACAACCGAATAGTTTATTTTTAGCATAAACTATCAAATATTTTTTAAAACTAATCGAATATATTGTGTAACTATCGAATATTGTTACTTTTCGAATAGTTTTTGAATGACTATCAAATATTTCGATAGTTACTATTCGATATTTCCCATCACTAGATAATACTATTATTGCAACCGATAACGACGAGCGTACATGTAGTTAATTCTAAAAATAAATTACCCAACATAGTAATATACTATATTTTACTGTATGGACGACGTTGTCGATTGTCCAAAACCCATACATAAGATTGCAGCTTAATCGTACCCGCAAGCACACGATTGGTCGCCTCTTTTATAATATACATTTCAAAATATTGTTCCTTAAAACACTGCTCGTATGTGCATTCATGTACCGAGGGAAACAACTTTTATGTTCGCACACCAAAAATTTATTAGAACTATTTTACTATTTAAAAATGTTCATTTTTAATAAAAATGTAAAATAAAAAAACAATTAATTTTTTTTCTTTTAATTAATATTAGAAGGGGGTGCGATCGTCCCGTCGACCAAGCCACGAGCCGCCATTGAAAATCAGAATTTACTTTTATTATCTGCTCCTCTAATTTTGAATATTTTTAAATTTAAATACTTTAAGAATAATGAGATAAGGTTTAAGTATTTAAAATCACCCAACCAATTAATAATCTAAATGTATATCCTTAAAGAACACAAATATTGTTTGAATTTAACTAATTAAATTAACAAGAAAAGAAGTAATCCACCTTTTAGAAATAACTTTTACATATAGATATAATTAATTTTTTAAATCTTATAGTTTATTAATAAATGAAAACATGCTTCATAAATACATTTGAGTTTTATTTTAGGTTGGCCATTAGTATTCGGAGAAAATATGTGTAGTTCAAGTCGTCCAGAAGATGCCACAGAGTTTAGAGCCAGAGCTTCAACTGAAGGTCATATGACAATGCGATCTGAAAACAGTGTATCTAGATATCTACCAACTTTGTCTACTAGAAGTAGTATTTGCAGTTATTTAAAAAGATAGTTAATTGATCAATAATAAAAATAATTAAATCACTTATTTCAGAAAAGGAATGAATTAATTTTCATCATTTTATATTAAGTAATCGTAAAAACATCTTTTTTTGTAAAAAGTAGTTAAGTCAGATTCAGAATTTAGAAATGTGACCGACCAAAAATGTTTTTTCCTGGCTTTGTTAGTAATATTAGTGAACCTTTTTTTTATAGGTAATATTTCATATACAGTGTGATTTACTTATCATGATACACTTAATTAATCAAAAAATAAAAATAATTTTGTGGATTTTTGAGTTAACCATTTTTTAGTTTTAAATTAATAATATATTTAATATAGTTTTAATTTTGAAAAAAATAATATTAATAACTTTTTTATTGGTTTCTTTTGGTCACCGTTTCTTTGAATTTTTCAATCATATAGTTCTTTTTTGTCCATCCCTTATACTTTACAAGGGAGTCCAATTTAATCTTTTAAATGGCAACACACATAATTAACAAGGTTATTTATTGATAACGATCTAATTAAGAAAATAATTGGTCGATAACAACCTATTTTGGAAGTTATTAACAATTAAAAGTAATGACTGAAGATGAAGAGTGGATGCTTCTATTTATATAACTAGACATTTCCCGACTGTAGTTTCCCTTTCACCTAGATAAAAATATGTCAATAACTTCCGAAATACTGGTCCAAAAGTTTTTATAGACCAGTCATTTTTTTAAATAGATCATTAGATCATCTATTTTATAAGCTAGTTAATTATGTGTTGCCATTTGAAAAATTAGAGTTGACACTCATATAAGGTATAAGGGTTAAACATAAAAATATCTTTACGATAGAAAAATTAAGGAAAACACTGAAAAATAAATACAAATAAAAAAGTTATTAAAAAATTATTTTTACTTTTCAATAAATTATGTAGTTTATTATAAGTGAATCACTCTGTATATAATAAAAAAAAACATACATCTCTATAACCTTAGCCTAAAAATTCAATAAATAATTCATCTGAACAATTAAAGACAATATGGTACCATCAATATTTAAACGTCATAAGAACTAAATAAAAATGGGAATAAATTATTTTGAGTTTTTAAAGTGAAAACAATTTAAAAAAATAAAATAAATAGCACGAAAATATTATGAGTTATTTTCACAAATTTTAGGTTTAAAAACTTCTAAACTACAATTATAAATATCAATATTGAGATTTAATAAATTACCATAGTTCATCAAAATTGAATAAAGAGAAGAAAATAAATAATTTACTTTAATATTATCAAGATAGAAAAACTGTTTAATTTAAAAAGCCATTTAAAGTTCAGTAATTTCATTAATTCAGGATAATTAATTAAACTGTTCAGTAATTAAAATTGAAAAATTAAATTACAATTTACCCACTCTGTACTTAATGAATTATTAACTAAAAATTGAGGAAATTCCATCATAACTAAAATGTGCGGCTTTAGTAATCTTACATTGATAAAAAATAAAACTTAAGAAATTATTTTAAATACAATCTAAAGATAAAAGTCTATCTTTATTAATTGAGTAAGTAAGCTATATTCGAGCATTGAACGAATAAAGAGTAAATAACTTTTAGAACAATCGGATCATGAAAGTTAGAACATGAACGTTTAATGACACCTAAGTTAGAATTAGCTTTATTTCTTAGTTTATTGACATGATCAGTAATATTTAGTTTAGAATCAAACCCACACTTAAGTCTTTAAAAACACAGATTAAACGTTTACCAATAGAATAATAAAAATTAATAATGGATTATTTAAGGTTAAATGTAGTACAATTACATTTATTTATATTTATAGACATTACATTTAAAGTACACCTAGAGGTAACACAATTAATATCATTTTCCAATAATACTGTATTAGATGAGGTTTTAATATATATAAAATGTTTCCACCATCCACAAATAAAAGTGTTTTAGAGTAACTGACCAACTATTCATAAACGCGCTCGCGATTTATGTCTTATAATTAAACCACTAAACTAATTAAAAAAAAAACATTTTCAATAATTGGCTTTTAAATCTTTCTTTTTTATAATTTTAACATGCATATAATGAATTTTTTAGACGTTTTTCCATGTTTGTAGGCTTCTGACACATTATTTTATCCATAAAAAAAAAAAAATTACAGTCAAGTTATAACACACAAAATCATAAAAACGTTTAATTTAAAATCAAGTGATAACAGAAATTATAAGAATTGAATATTTAGTGAGAAATTTGAAAAAATTTTCTTTACCATACTAATACCTGTTTTGATGTTCAAAAATTATATCAAAACACGCTAAATATAAATTTATAACCACAACTAAAATTAACGTGTTTTAATACTAGCGAGTAAAAAAGCGTACCATAAGAGGTCATTATGTTGAATAAGGATGTGTTGCTATGTGTAATTTAGTTTGAAAAATATTGAATTCGTTATCTCACCCTGTCTTACACTATGTATCTATTAATAGACATGATTAATAAAAATAGATTTCTGTGTAATGAAATATCGAGTTGTAAAAATATTTTCCTTTACCAAAATTAAAAATTTTCATTAGTCTCTATAAAATGAGATAAATAAAAATAATTGAATCAGGTCAATTAGTACGAACAATAACAATGGAGTAACTTTTTCAGTGTAACGTTTTGAAAAATAATTTTTCAGTCTTTTGTGTAAAATTCAAATTTTATAGCGTTCTCATTAAAAAAAAAACCTGATAAACAGTATTTAAAATCTACACCTACATAGAATTTAAAACTTAAGTCGTAATTTTTGAGTTATAGCTATTGTTAATTGAAGGTCGCATTTAGGGGTATATGGGTGACAAGTTGGGTTGGGTTAATACATAAAAGTTTTTTGATGGCCAAAATAAAAAGGTCATTGTGAGCAACAGAATTGGAATTGTCAGTTAGATCTGTTCCACTCTTTTTATAATACCGACGCCCTATAATTGCATATTGTAAAATTTAATAATCATACAATTTTCAGTTTAGTCTTGAAATAACATATAATAGAAGTTATTTGTAGTAGCACTATAGTAGTGTGATACTGCAAAAAAATCAAAAATAAATTATTTGGTAAAATTAATTTTTCGTTATTTAATGAGTAATATTTGTTATTCAATGTAATTTACATTACAATCAATTAAATAAGCAATGAATATCTAATAATTATTTTATTAATTATTCAGATTGAACCTAGTCATAGGCATAATCTGGTGGGTATTAGCACCTTTATTTCTTTGTCAGTTTTCTAGAAAATATATAAAATGGCATGCAAATGTATATTAGAAATATTTTTAAGGAAGGGAAATTAAAGTAGATGCCCAAAAACTTTGTTCATATTGCACCTGTATACTTAGTGTACTCTTTAAAAGTATTTAAATTTTGTAAGTTTTATCTGTAATTTTGAAACTATGCTAATAAATAATCAATAGTTGATGCTTATAATTATAATGTAGTTCTAAATATATAAGAAAATCATTTTTTTGTCATTCACATTTAGTTTTGTTTATAAAATAAAAATAAATGTTATCTAGATATAAGACATAACTATTTAAAAATATTAACAATCAAGTAAAAATTATTATTAAAGTAACATAATTGTGATTTTATACAATATATATTGTTTATTAGTCAATTTAAAAATAATATATAAAACAAAACATTAGTTAAATATTTTATCAGTGTAATTGGATCTTGTTATTTATCATATCAACCTTTATATTTATTAATATATTCTAATCACCGATTACATTTATGGTAACCATTATAATATTTTATAGTTTTATTTGCTTTAATATAATAAATTACACATTAACACTTTAACGATACTTACACAAAATATGTATACTGTTAAAATGAAAAATTATTAATAAAGTATTTAAATTAACATTACATTAATATTCCTAATATTGTAATAAAATATTAAACATTTTGTCAATCATATGTATACATAGTTATATACATACTAAAATACAGTCCTAATAATAAATAAAATAAAAAAATTTAAACAAATTTATTCTCAGGCTTAATATTTGAAGATATTTATAACATCATGAGTGTTTAAATTTTGTATTGGAAAACTATTACCTAGTGTACAGTAAATTATCAAAAATATTAAATGGCAAGACAGAGCTAAAAAGTAATAATCTACATATGTTGCCAGGTAGTAGGTATAAGATTATGTGTTGAATCCAAATATCGTGATATTTCTTCATGTAATCCATGGCCTAACCATAAAATTTGTAATTTACGATATTGATCTTTACACAGAAATAATGGATTTCCCCGCTTCAAGCCTTGATCAGTTTCTCCATATTCATCAAGATATGGTGGAGTGATAAAACACCCTTTGTTTGGACTAGCTAATAACAAAACTTCACATTCTCTAACTCGTAAGAAAATTCCTACTCCACATCCACATGTATATGCATGACTTGAGCATGCTCCAACCTGAAAAATTAAAAAATTATTGTGATTAAATATATATATATATATCTACCAGTTTCAACAACGTTGGTTTAAAACCAGCTAAATTCAATTGAACTGGTCTTTTAAAGGAAAAGTATAGTGGTTTTCCAAGCCTTCTACTTTAAAAATATGGTGTTATATGCCACTATAAAAACTTCTAAGTGGTCACCCACCTGAGAACCAATAACAGCAATTGAGGCTTACCACTTTGCTTATCAACAAATAATGTATCCACTACTGCTCCACATTCTTAGATAATTTATTAAAAAAATATTTTTATAAAAACATGCTTTATATTTCTTTTTTAATTTACAAAAAAGCTAATCTAATAATAATACATTCATGTAACACAATACAAAATGTATTTATCAATTTGGTTTTATGTAGAGAGAGTGTACAAATATAATAATTTTAACTGTAAAATGTCACATTGTTATTACAAGAATATTAATACAACTCAATATATTAGAATTTTTGGAAATAACTTGTTTTGCATAGAAACATTTAAATTATAAATTATAATATATTAATACTCATTTAAAAAATAAATACTAAATATTATTTAAAACTTTAGATATAAACAATTTCAAAATATTGATAATACTAACCAAAAGACGTTTAAGCTCAGTTTGACAACAATAACTCTGAGAACAAAGCATGGCACCACACACTAAACACATTGTTGGATTCCTTGAATCTTCATGGTCACTGTTAGGGCAAGTGAACATTGACACAGTATTTATTAATTCACTATAATCATCAGGCAGTTGAACTAATTCATTAACTTGTGTCCAATTTTTGAATGGTATTTTTTCACCATTTCTAATCTTAACAATTTTATCATTTGTTATCCATTTGTTTATTAAAACTTCCACAAATGGTTTGTCTAAAAGTTCTCTACATGTAGTTGGAAGTCCTAAATAACAACACATATTATGATAAGTATCACCTTTAACTTCTGTTAAAACACCCGAAGCAGGTACACCAGTTAGGAAATGATAGAACAATGTACAACATCTCAAAAATGGCGTTGAAAAAATCTCCAATTTGTTCCAAATAGCAACTGTATTTTTAATATTAATACCACGAAGCTTGCTCACTAACTTGGCTATACAAGCTGTATCTTTAGCTTCTTCCAGATCAATTTCAAGCACATTTTCAGTTTCTTCGTTAATATCAATTGTTAATATAATTTGTACAATATTTACAATAAACATCAGAAGTAAAGTATGAAGGTCTAACATAGTCCCTCTAGGAGCAGGGCCTGGTACTTCTGTATAATATAAGCTAGGTAAAGTCATGGTTAATGAAACTAACATTCCAAATGCATCCCAGTCAAGAATTCCTATTGAGTTATTACCACCATTATCAATTGCTAAAGATAATAATCGAAGTGCATGAAGATTTATTTCATGTTCTTTTTTCCATGTTGAACTAAGAACAGCTGAAATACGTACCAATGCTTCTAAACAATCTTTTTGTCGGCAACATAAATCTCCTAAAAGTGGTTTGTTTTTATATCGTAATATTACTTCAATTGAGTGTATCGTATATGCACAAGCTTTCCAAGTCATTAAAGGAATTTGGTTATTATCTGGATGTGGATTTACACCTGTTCCTTTAGAGTAAGTACTATGAGCAAATTTCAAAATTGTATCAACTAAACTGGTTGAAAGTTCACTATTCTTATAGATTGAAACTTTTGGTACAGATGTAGGTGATGATTTGTCAAACATTAATATTTGCATAATGAAATCATTAGTTCCTATTGAAAATTGATTTGGGGGAGGTAAAACTTCTTCTTCTTCATCCTCATCATCTGGCTGAAACTCACCACTATCTCTAATTACAATTATTTGACCCAAGTTGTTACCAGCAACTAAATTAGCAACAGCATGCTGTTGCATTAACGCATCTCGTCTAGCAGGAATTCGCCTTTGTCTTTCTGGTTCTATGTCTGGACTAGTAGATAATCTAGTAGAAGAAGTCGATTCAGATGTTGCTTTTTCTTGAGAGGTATTGTTTGGTCTAGCTACTTTGCTTTGTTTTAATGCCATGTTTAATCCTTCTAACCAATTTTCAAATGATAAATTTTCAAATGTTTTCATATTTTCTGGTTCGGTAAAACTTGAAATAGGTGGTAATAATGGTATAACTGCATTGCATAATCCTTCACATAATGGGCATAAATATTCATTTTTATGTACATCAAAACTTAATGAATGCCTTAATCTATATGGTCTGCGATTTTCTTTAGCCAAAATCATATCAAAGTGTTTTTGCCAGCATGCAACATGCATAACATGTCCACAAGTAGAGATATGAGGTGATGGACCAAAATTGGCTGGTATATAATATGGATCAGGAGTATTGTCAATGAAGGTTTCTGGATTACATCTTACTTGACAGAGAACAGATGATTTTTGTACAAATGTGGCTAAAACCATAGCTTGACTGTCATGTGTTACTATTTGTTCTTCTTGGCACAATATACAAGTATATCTGTTGTCAAATGTACTCGATATAGTTTGATATGGTCCAAGTGCTACAGAGAGTTCGCCAATATTTTCTAAAATATCCATATTAATAGAGTCTTGATATGATTCAGAATAAGTGGGTGTATTTTCAAACAGTGTTGCATTATCTTTCATGAAGTTACTTTGCATTTGTGCCATCTGAGCCATTACAGCTGCTCGCCGTTCAGCAGCCAATTTTGCTCTTTTTTGTTTTTCAAGGTCAGCATCTTCAATTTTATCATCATCCATTTTTTCTACTTCCACAGTTTTTTTACCTTTTCTTCTAGGTGCTGATACTTGCCTAAATTTATTTAACGTCCATACAGATAAATCTTTATAAGCTTCAACTCTTGGACTTTTTCTAAGGTCATCTAATGCACCTTCTAATCCATATAATTCAGAACGTTCAGTGAAATTAAATGATGAATTTGATTGCTTTTCTTCTTCATGAAGAGCATAACCAATAAGATGTAAAACTTTATGTAACTGAGATTCAGAAAAACTTCTACTCCTCAAATTCACAGTTCTATCTAAAATTAATTTCATGATATAAAACATAATATCACATTGTAAAATATTTGCAACACTTTTAAATGCATCACTGAATAGAGGCAAACTTGGAGGAGGACAACATTCTAATTCACCAGCTGTCTTTCTTCTTCTACGTTGTTCTTCTTCAGATTTAGACATATCTTCTCTTGAATAATGATAAAAAAATACATTATAATCATCATAAAATTTTTCTTTTAATTCATAAACACCTTTTCCTCGTGTTTTTTTAAATACTGCAACTTCATTTATAACTTTTTCTAAACATTCTTCATCATCCACAATATGAAGAAGTGTTTTATTTAATTCTGAATGTGGCATTGGTTCTACACAAAGTTGTTGTATTACTTCTTTTTTTATACAATCGTCAAAACTTACTTGACCAATTCCAGGAGTATATCGTTCACCAACAATAGTAATAATAAGAGTCAGAAATTCTTCAACAAGACTAATAGTCTGTCGAATTGATTCATCTTCTGTGCCATTTAATAAATTAAGTTCAAAATTAGGTTGAGCCCATTTAAGCAAATTAAATTTATTTAAAACATGAATTAAAAATTCATTACTATCAATCAATGATGCACCCATTTGTAGTAATACAATATCTTTATCCAGCATCTCCATGCGACATTTAGCATTGTGATAAAGATAAATTTGATTTAGTAAAGAATAACCATTTCGTCTCCACATACCAGCATGTACTTGAGAAATTAATACTTGAGCTCGGAGAACAGGTTCAATTATTTGTTCAGGAGTTTGTCTAGCTGTTTGCAAATCTGGATGGTCAAAACTTAGACCATAACGGTCCAAATATAAATGTAATCCGGCAAGAAATCTAGATAATGGAAGATGTATAGAAACAGGTTCAGTTGAAACATCATAATCTATGCAAGTAACACTACGATCAATTAGTTCTTTTACAACTGTGGGTCTGTTAGGATCTACAATTGGATTTTCCCAAATCTTCTTCAAAGTCATTCTGTAAACTTTTTTCAAAACTAAACAGTCAGAACCACACCACAGTAATATTTTAGTTATCAATGGTCTTAATTTTATATGTAAATTAAATGCTGTTTCCCATTCTGGTTCATATTCCATGTGTTGACCTACTTGCCTAGTTACTGTATCCATATTCTGCATATAATTTAGTATCTTGAGCACCAATGATACAGCATGACAAAAAGATACTCTTAATTCTGGATTCCATTTATCAGGAACAAATCCCAACAAATAACGAATATCACCAAGAACCTGTTGAGCTCTTTTAAAAGGCATTGTTGAGGTATTTCGTTCAAATTCTAATTTTCCTTGTTTATTTACTTTGTGTGAACATTCTGAAAGAAATGTGTTTAATAACTGATATAAAACATCATGATGAGCCATTAAGTAGTTAGCTAAGGTGGGAACAGTAAAAATCTGAACACCTAATGATACAACAGAATATGAATAATCATGATCATCATTAATAAAGTCTTTCATAATAGCCCCATAATTTTTAGTAAAAACTTTTGCAAATTCTTTTTTATTATTATATTCAATAAACATTCCAGCAATAAATAGTTTATGCCAATGTAATCTTGCAGATTTCCACAAAGCTGTGTCTTTACGTAGAATACTTTCTACAATACAACTTTCTGATAGCTTAGGTGTTAAAACTACTTCTGAAAAAACAGCTCTTAAACGTTCCGAATACCCTAATAAATTTTGCATCCAGGTTAAGAGTCGAAGTGCATAAATTTGATGAGCAATAACATGAGAGTGAACAACAACAGTTTTTAAAGGTTTACCTCCATGGCGTGATGTATATTTTTCAATTTCTTCCTTTAAATCCTTACAATGCAGAAAGCCAGCACATTTGACAACTGCTCTACCTTCACGATCAATAGATGTAACATAATCAATTGATTCTCTTTGAGGACACTTAATAAACCTGGTAAGGGTTGTTATTACTTGATCAAAAGTATGGGTCTCGTCATTATATAAAACAGTACAAAAGCTATCCTCTTGATTATTGTAAATACTATACAAATCATCTGCAATATCTTCAGAGTCTAATTCTACCGGTAGCATAGGTGGATGTTCTAATGTAAGAAGACTACGAGCATAACGAAGGACATATTCAAAAATTAATCGAGCTCTTGCTTCCATATCAATTGTCAAAATGTTTATGTTATCATGCTTTTTCTCTAACCCTAGTTTATGAGTTTGACAATAAGCATCTTGCTTCCATGCTTCTACATCACCACAATCACAACACCCCCCGCCATATGATGTTCCCATTTTATATTTGTGGTTTTTATGAGAAGATTTTTTAAAGCAATCAACACACAAAACACAAGTACTGTCCATTCCACATTCTCGACAATTATATGTTGGTTCACCCATTTTAAATACACGCCCACAAACAGAAGGTGGATAATTTTGCTGAGTAAGACCTCGTAAAACTTCAATACTATTTCCATCACAAATAAATTCTTCAAGGGTGTTGAACAAAATTTTTTCAGTTTTTTGTTCATTAAATGACCATTCTAATGAACTTACATGAATTTCAGGTTTCAGTAAACGTGCAACCCAATACTTCCAGTACTTTCGGAAATCAATTTCATTTAGAGTATCAGATTTAAATTTCTCTAACCATTCTGGAACTATATTTACATGTTTTTCGGAATCTTTTGAGACAGTACTTTCATCCACTTCCATGGGAGTATTTAAATCAGCCATTATGACATAAAGCTATCTGAAACAATAAAATTTATCAATTTTACAATCAAGAATATCATAATAATCATCAGTGAATAACAAAAATATAAAATCAATCTATTTAAAAGAATTGTTATACAGTTTTAGTGCTAAGTTAAATTTACAGTGCCTAAATAATTTTTTTATTTAAAAAGAACTACTTAGGTAATGTTACAATAATAAAAAATTTGAAACATTTTAAAGAAATCAGTTCACTATTTAACCATTTTAATGTTAAAGTAAAAATTAAAACCAAACAAAAAATTATAAGATATATTGCATTATCAATACAATAAGAACATGAATCATCATATTTTACAACAACTGTTTTTTTGGCGAAAATACACATTTTTGTTCCAAGATCATGATAAAACTACCGATGCAATAAGACTTCTGAAAACACATCTAAATTCAGCATTTTGTTAATTTAGAATAAGTCAGATCATTATTTATTAAATAAAAATATTTTTCCTTTAATACTCAATGAAAGGTTTTATTTTTTCAAACCAACTTAAGAGTTTAAGAAATTAAAATATCAAAAAAGTAGTCTATCTAATCCTAAGTTGACATTTAGTGCCATCCCAAGCAGGTAGGCTCAAACCTATCCTGATTTAGAGCCAACCTAAGTATAGGCCACATAAAATATTTTATCCTCAAATAATGACTAAAAAAGTTATTAAAACCTTCCTAAAGTGACCAAGCCAATTTTATCCAAGCTTGTCTTAAATTTTAATCCAGGGCACACATCTGTTAGCATGATATTGAATTTAAATCTGTTTATTCCCAAAAAAGGTTGGTATTTAAGCGCTAAGGCACAACTGGGTACCAATCATTTAATGTATGCATGTTTAAAAATATGTGTTTTTAGTATTTATAATAAGATTAAGTTAAATTTCTTAATTGCACCAATATATTATGAATAATAAACTGAATTCTTTTAATTATATTAAACTTTTTATTTACAGCAATTATATTACCACAATAATTATTTCCTTTAATTGAGATAATCAGTTTTATTTATATTAGAAAAATCAAATTAAAATTTTATATAAAACAGATGTTATCAACACAAAAGTTAATAAAATTAAATATATCTTAATTTATTATTCTATTCTATAGTTATTCAACATATTCATTAAGTTTTTTCTATTTTTACATTTAAACAACAATATGTTGTGAAAATGAAAATGAAAAAATCTCTAGACCTAACAATTACTCTCAAAATTTAAAAAAATTTTAAGTTCTATAGGAATTATGTTGTATTAATTAAATAAATTAAAATTTATTCTGACAGACTAGTCTAATATAATTGTATAAAATAATTTATTTTTTATTTTATCAAGTTTACATCAAAGCTAATAATTTTAATGTTATGTTTATAATCTTATAATTTTTACTAGTAAATGCAAGTTCACTAAAAGAAATATATCATATCAAAAGCATTATTATACATAGGTATATATTGTATTTCAATACTTTTTAATACTACATAGATTAAGCGAATATATCTATAGTAATTTTAGCAAGGTATCTATTACAAAATAATAAATAATTTTCATATCCAGCAGGATATGAATGACTTTTTTTAAAGAATATAGCTTCCTCTTACAAAAAATAGATTTCTTTATTATTCCTGAACAAACAATTTCTAGAGAAAAGAATATTAGTAAATGATTCATATTAGTATAACAGTAACTGACCCAGGTTGAAAAGAGAAAAGAATATAATTAAATGATTTATATTAGTATGAAAATAACTGATTCAGAGATAGAAAATAAAAATATTGAATCACTTATCACTAAAAATATAATTATATATTTTATATCAGTATAAAGTAATATTTTTAGAGATGGATTAAAAGTAACTTAAATATCTATAAATTAAAAAATGGTATGTTATTTAATAAAATTATAACAATCACTTATTCAGCTGACAATATAAACTGGGCAGGTTTCGCAGTCTACGCGTACATACATAATTAAACGTATATCTATGCATGGATAATATATTAATTAGATAATATATATTAAACTTAGTGATTACAACAAATTCATCAATACCTACTTAATGTTAACTGCAGTATTATTTTGAACGTTTTTTCAGATATTACCGCACTAAATAAAAATTCGAAACAAAAGAAAATAGCTTAGTAACTGCGTTCTCAATAGTAATGTATTTTCACTTTTCCTTACAACATAAAAATTGAACTTTTTATTTGATAAAAATAGCAGACGATTCATGAATTGTGATCACGAACAGCTGGCCTAATCCCTCATTGTGTATTGTTAACTTTGTTATCTGTATTAACATTAAGAAACCTAACTTCCCTGAAATCAGAATTTCATAACATGGTTGTGTTATCATCTGTTCATATCACACATTAGATAAAATCTAAATCTAAAAAATTAGAAAATTATCAAACCTTGTTCATGTCACAAGATAAAATATTTTATCCTAGTTCGAGGTCCATAGTTTAAACATCAATCCAGTATAGCCAAATTGTACGATTTATTGGAATTAGTTTTTATTTTAAAGTCAACTTAACTAAACATTTGTATTTGACTGGATCCGGATTACTTTAAGAATGGCATTTTTGTAGTTTGAAAATGGGATTAAAACCCCGATAATATTCTATATTAATTGTTTACAAAATAAATTAAATATTCATAGGATATCAGGTTTTTTCATTTTTGCATACATTATTTTAATAAATGATGACCTCTTATTTAAAATTTGAATGAATAAATAACATTTAAAGATTTCTGGATGATACCAAAATATTTATTTGAAATTGTTTTTAAATGTTAATTTTTTGTGACGTTACATAATTTTAAGTTGCAAAATAATGATTTTTTATCCCTTTATATTTAAAAAAAATTATAAATATTATTAGGACTGATAACCTTTATTAACTTATGAAAAATGTATGTAGTATTTAAAATACATGGAATTCGTCAATTTCATATCATAAATAAACTAAAAATTATTTATTATTAATTAATATTTGTAAAGGAAATTTACATAATAAAGAAACGTGATTTTCGAAGATAATTACTATTTGAACGGCGGCTTGGCCGATAGTCATAACAATTAAATACAGACTATTTTGAGCGACATTATCGCTATCTCTTGGCGATTTCCTTTTAAAACCTCAATGGCCTGATAACGACTATAAATTAGGCGAAGAATATTCCAAGAACAGTTATGATGCAAGTATAGGCTTTCTCCAATTAGCCGTCCTCGGATTACGATCGTCTTTCTCATTCTTAAGGAAAATAATTTGTCTCTCTTAATCTGACCTTCACAACCACAATTACCAGTTTTTGGTACAAATGTTTTATCAAGATGAATATGTTCATATCATTCTTTACTGAAAACAATTAAAAAACGTACATTAAAAGGTATTATTGTCAATTGTGCTATTAGAATTGAATACTTTTGTCTATTGTAAAAATTGATTAAATTACGAGTTAAGTTATGGCTCATCATTTCAGAGAAGACGATATTGATGGTTAGATATTTTTAATTCATATTTGTATTTCTTAATTTTTTATTTATCAATTAATCTTCAGTTTTTTATTTTCAGAATTTAGAGAATGTTTTTATTTATTTGCAAGAGAGGGTACCATCAACAAATTGGAAGAGCTAACTACAATTATGAGATCTTTAGGAATGAGCCCAACAATTACTGAGTTAAAAAAGTACTTTTCAGATAATAGTTAGTACAACTCGTTTAATAAACAATTTTTTCGCAATTAATTTAGGGAAATACCAACTTCAATAAATATCACTATTGAAATTGTTTGTGTATTTAGAATTTTCAAACTTTTTGTTAATTTTATGCAGTTATTATTACTTACATGCTGATGCTAAAATAGCTTTCAATGTTCAAAAAACATTTTTTACTCTGAGAAATTTCACATACTATATTTTTTATTGAATTAAAGTTACATTGATTAGCCAATTAACATTCATGTTAATACAAATATTTAAATACTACTTTTTGAATTTTTTTTTAGTACTCTAAAAAAAAAACTAAAAAAGAAGAAATAAGTAATATTAGCAAAACTTGATTAATTATTTTGATTTAATTTTGAGTAGTTAAATAAAATTAAAACTTTTAAAAATATTATTAATTTAAAAACTAAAAAATCTTAAACTCAAAAGCCACAAAAAAATTATCGAAAAGTCCCAGATACGTATTTTGGAAAAATGTTACCATTTGTGGTTTTTGTGTTTAATATTATTTAATTTTTAAATATATAATATTTTTAATATAGTTTGAATTTTATTTAATTAATTTGACACAAGTGATCAATTTTTATTATATAACTTTGAATAGTGTTTGCCAAAGAAATTAACAATAAAACGAGTGTTAGTAATTATATGTAAGATGATCTTAAAATAAACCACTAAAAATAGTAATATGATGACAAAATTTATTTTTTTTTAAATTGAATAATACATTATATTTAATATAAAATTTGAACGAATGTACTACATAAATACCATAATAAAAAACATAATTTACTGTAACATTAAAATACAAATTTTAAATTTATTTAAGTTTAAGACATCAAAGGAGAAGTTTTAGTGCTTATTAAATTTATTGTGTTTCCCAGTGACTAATATGCAATATTTACAGTAAATTTTATTTTTATTTGGCTTATTGCTATTTTTCTATTTCGACTAAAATAAAAAATCAATTAACTATAAATTATAAAAAATAAAATCAACTTAACATTTATTTATTTTTTATAATAAAATAAAACAATTAAAGGAATTTTTTATTCGAAACATAATTTAACAAAATAAATAAAATAAATTATTACTCTATTTCTTATTAACATCCTTTCTGAAAAGGTATGTTTGTGTTAGATAGGTTGATTAGATCAAGAAATCTACATATTCCAGTTTAGCAGATTTGAACTCTGATACCTATGCGCCATTCTTGAATGAGCTAAGTAGGCCACATAAAATTAAGATCATTTTTTCCTTACTATAGTTAATTAAGAAGGAATTCAATTATTTTTTTACCATCTCTATATTGTGACAGGGAGGGAGGGGTAGCTTGTTGCCATCAAAAGTATATTAATATACTCGCATTATTTAATGATAGTGAAAATGTTATTATTTAGCTGAAAACTAGTGAAATATAATTTATTGAATTATTATTTCAGTTTTAATTATTTAATTACATAAATCATTAAAACATTAAAAAAATATATTAGGACAAGAACATTTGTTTTTTAAATTTGATTTAAATCACTCCTTATAATTACAATGGGTAAGTAATTCCATTAACCAGGTACTCAATAAACTTAGAAACATTCAATTAAAAATAAATTCTAAGAGGCGTTATTAATATTTACAAATATTTCTTCTTGGAAACCACTAAGATAATTTAATATTTTTTACTATAAAACTAAAATAAATCTTATAAGAATACAATACCACCCTTAAAAAAGTTGTGTTTGCAAGCATATTGAATACTCTTTGTATTAGGTTCACCTTTGAATTTGATAAATACTAATGTATTTATAATTTCATCGTTATAAATACATTTTGATTCAAATATTTTATTAAAAAAATTACCTGTTATTACAGATGGCAAACTAAATTTTCCAGACTTACTTAAAGTAATGCATTATCATTGTCACATAGAAAAATTACCTGATGAAATCTTAGCAGCATTTAAAGCAAGTGATAGTCAACATAAAGGAACTATTCATAGTAAACATCTTAAAAATTTACTCCACGGTTGGGGAGAAAAATTAAATAGTAAAGAAAGTAATGTTTTTGTTAAATAATAATCAATTAAATTTTAATACAAAAATTTTAATTTTTAGTTGAACAAATTTTTCGAGAAGCTAGTGTTAATTCAAATAGTAAAGTTACTTATGATGAATTTGTAAAAATTGCTTGTGCACCTATACCTGATTACTATTAACTATTTGTAGTTTCATCTAAGTATATTAAACTTATATGTGAAATGGTGTTTGGGCAGTATCATATAATAAAATTTTGTATAGTTTTTATAATGAATCATCATTTTAGATATTTTATGTAATTTTAAATTATTTTATTATTTTATGTAAAATAAATTACATAATTTTTTAAACTTATGTATTTTTTGGGTGGTTATGTATAAAATATTTGTGAAAAATTGGTCAAGTGAGAACTAAGAAAAAGTAGTGATAGACGCAAAAAAATAATATGTAGTAGATATTAAGTATGTTCCCAATTATAAAATGAGTTCATTGATGCCAGATTCATGCCAGTCAAGTAATCCAATGGTCAGTATTCGGTTTGTTGTGACAGCTAAACGTACATAGTGCATCCCCAACATTTATGTAACTCCCTACAAATTAGTTCAGAGTTACCATCATTTCCACTAACTTCTCCATGACTGCAAATTTATGTTCTCTCACTGTTATACTGCCGAGTGAAAATTTTTTTTTATTTGTGGTTCTCTTTTTCTATGGTAAAAACCACGTTTTCGTTTGAAATTTTTTTAAGCGGTTGCAATTTTTTTATTCTCCGTTTTTATTTTGTGAAATAAAACGTCGAGTTTCTAGATGTTGCCAACAGCACTTGAACCGTCAACCAAGCTGCTGTACTTTTTTTGTGAAATAAAACGTCGAGATATAATAATGTGAGGCGCATATTATGGTCGTTAGTAGGCCAACACGTTTGAAGTATATCAATCAACAAAAAGTATACCCTGATTTTCTCATTTTTTCTGTCTTTAATAATATGTGTATTATCTGTTAATTACACAAAGTCTACAATTGGTCTTACTTATAAATGATTTTGAACACTGTATTTTATTATAAATACAATTTTAATTTTTTTACTTATTGATTTTTTTTACGTCTGTTGAATAAATATATTTTTTTTTTGAGAGAGAGTATTTTTTATTGAGAGATCGATACCAATATTTCTTAAATTTTCCTCTGGCCTGGCCAAAACAAGATTTAGAAATATCTATATCTATGTAAAAAATTTATTAAGGCGGAATTGTGGTGGCCCAATGTGTCCCGGCACTAGAAAACGCCTTGAAAGGATGCGGCACAATAATCACCAAGATAAAAATTAAACACTAAAAATATATTCGTAAGTTTCTCTACATTGTCTGCCGGCGCGATGTTTATTAAAACAAAGACATTAGTAACGAGACTAGCTACCCAATACGCATAGGCTTACAAATATATTCTAACCTAATATACCTAATTCTAGAATAATAACTAGTTGCAACCTTTACTCTGTCTGCCGGCGCGATGTTTGTTAAAACAAAGACATTAGTAACGAGACTAGCTACCCAATAAGAAAAGCTCACAATAAATTTTTTATTATTAAATAAAAATCTAAAGTTAGGTTGGATTTGTTATTAAAATAAAATAAAATAATTTTAAAAAGATGTAATGTTTAAAATATTATTTGATATTTATTTCCACAACAAGAAAAATAAAATATTATTAATGATTGAACAAATTTAATTAAATTAAAAGATTCACCAAAACAAAATTCACTTTAAAATTTTAATTTTTGAGGGTAATGTCTTCGACTAGATACGTTTTGTGATCTTTTGACGTATCGTTGAAAGAAATCGGTTTAGTGAGAGCCGAGAAAATGTGGTAACAGACACAAAAAAAAAAAAAAACACAGTAAAATCAATTCCTTCTCAGCTTCGCATCGAAGCGAATAAATAGATAAAAGAATAAAGAAAGGAGGGCAGCTAGTACACTCACTAGCGTAGGAGAACAAAATGTAATTATATCATCTATTTTATATTATTGGAGTATCTTAAATGGAATAGCTAGAATTTCATAAGAATTTTGGTATTACTTAAAGTAATATCTAAAAGAAATAATTTAAAAGATTTATTAGGTATTAATCTTTAAGGTAAAGTAAAAGTAGGGCGGAAATTGGGCATTTTACAAACAATGAGAACAATAGAAACCCGTTTCCTGACTTACTGAACACCCTGTATAATACAATGTGAAGGTTGTAAATAATGTTATGTAGGACAAACAAAAAGAAATATAAGGGTCAGGCTTAAAGAACCCTTAAGAAACATTAAAAATCAAGAAGTTGATATATCTCCAGTGGCTGAACATTTATTGACACATATTACTCCATTAAAACTATAAAATTAATTAAAAGCGTAAATAATTACAAAGAACTAAATATAAGGGAAGCTATTGAAATGTTTAAAATCAAGAACAGTTAAATTAATTGGAATCTTGTCCCGCCGAAAAATTCTCTAATTAACTTGTGTAAACAGGCAAAATGTGATAATATTACTTAGTGATATGGTCATTATGGGTATATAAAGAGGTTTTTTTATATGTATAGCACTGATAATGGTAACATTGTTCCCGAAATTCCTATACGTGTTTTTTTAGTAATTTTTTTTTGTGACTTTTTGAGTTAAATATTTTTAATATAGTTTTAATCTTAAATTTAAAGACTTCGAAACGTTTTATTGGCAATAACTCATGATGAAAAAAATAATAATAAATCAAGTTTTTTTTTAGTTAGTTGGTAAAAACATACAGTTTAAATGCCCAAGAAATAGTGGTTCATAATATTATAATTACAAGAATTTTTTTTTTTCCAATACTAATGACAATACGTGACTAAAACTATTTCTTTCGGATAATAAATCGTAGGTCCTAAGCAAAATTAGTATTTAATAAATAATTAAGTCGTCTCTATTTGGCATTAAACTTCATTCCAATACGACTACTCAATGGAAAAGTTATATCTACCCGGACAATGATGAAGATCAGCTATTTATTTTAGTGGCAGACCAATGATTTTTTAATTTTAGTGTTTTGCGTATAAATTTTAATACAATGTACTTTTTTAAATGATCACATAACAACATCGATTACACGAGTTAAATGTAAATAAAAATATTAAAAAAAAATTTAATCACAGATAGATTTATGTAATTTCTAAAAACATCCCCCAAAAATTCAATTGACTATAAAATTTTTTAATTAATAATGAAAATTCTACTGAGATTTTAATGTCCAATTACATTGCGGTCGAAGTGCCTCGTGTGAACAGTATCATCAAATCTTAGCCGTTTAATTTGGTTTTGAAAGATGCAGCGACCGCGCAAATTTTAAACAAACGCGGTCTTTGACGGACGATGATTTGCATATACAATGCAATTTTTCTGGTTTACCAACTGCGAACGGCTAAAACAATTCGTAATTAACCAACTTTAGTGGCGCAATTTCGGTAAAATTTTAGGAGTCTTGAAATTTTTTAATAGATTTGGAAAGTAGTTGACGTTTTTATGATTCTCCAACCAATATATATTTTTTGATACTTGGGTGCTGGACATAAATAAGGTATTTTAAAATTTAGTACATTTTCTTGAGTTGAAATATCCTTTCGCTTTTTAATAAAAATTATTAATCATCATAATACTGATCTATAATGATCGTTTTACTATAGCTCACGTAATATTTTAAAAAATATAAAATATAATATCATTTTTACGACATTTTAACACTTCTTATGATTTCTATGAATTTATACTAAAATTTTAGTTTTTAAGTANTATATATATATATATATAGAGAGAGAGAGAGAGAGAGAGAGAGTCACAATACGACTTTGTTAAATAAATAGATTAATTTTTGACGATCAAATTAATTATTTTTAAAATATTCAGTTTGAAGTTTAAATATTATCATATTTCAAATAGGCATATTTAGAGAATTTAAATTTAACTTACAGTTAAAAAATGTATAGAGTTTTATAAATAGATATTTATTAGTATTACATCATTATATACTATTTTATAGTTACGTTTTTTTAGGTCGCTTTTTTATAATTAATTACGTAAAAAAAATTCTTATCATATTTTTATTTTACTAAGATATATAAATATTGTACACTTGCATTGCGTTATTAAGCCATAATTAGTATTACAAATTATTGCTATTAAAATGCCAACTCTAAGTATAATTACCAATTTACCAAAACATAAAGTTCCGTCAAGTTTCTTAGCTGACGCATCTCACATGTTAAGCCAAAAACTTAACGTTCACGAAGGAGTAAGTTTTATGTTAGCCTTGCATATTTTAATTTATTCTAGCAATTATAAATAGTTGGGATTAATTTTGTTTTATTTTTAATATAAATTACTTAATTAGTTCAATTAAGAATAATATTATTTATTTAGTTTTTTTGATACACATTCTGTTCATAGAATAATATGAAATAATTTTAAAGAACTAAGATTTTTTTATGATAAACCATGTGTCTTCATTATTCATTTTTAATTAAAATAGAATGTTGCACATTACTTTTTTTAAAAACTTTAATAAACTATTGAACTATCATAATAACTTTTAATTGATTTTCGAATGAAATGTATTGAGTAAATTTTATATATTATTGTCGATAATTACTTTAATACATTTTAATTTCTGTCTTTTATTTATCATTTTGAAGCATGTAATAGTAAAAATAAAAGCGGCACAACCAATGCATTGGTTTATGGATGAATCATTATGTGGCATTGGAAGTTTATCCGGAACAGGTATTTATGGATTGGAAGAAAATAAGAAGAATTCTGCATTTATATTCGACTTTATAGAAAAAGAACTTGGTATACCACAAAACAGGTATGTTTTTCTTTGGAAATCGCCTAAGAAAGATTATATATCAACCATTAAATAATACAGGCAAATCATTATTTTAATTTACTTTTTATGCAGTAAACTAAAATAATTTTAAAGTTTATTTTTGCATTTATTTTCAAAAAAAAACCTTAAAAGTATCCTAAAATTTTTAAAGCAGTCTAGTTCAAAGTATAACTTCTTGCGAATAAAAAGGAATTTTTACTAGGTGCTAATACTTCAAAATAATTAAGATATTTTTCCATATTATAAGGTAATCTGCTAACTATGTGTTTCAAAATATTTTCAAAAGTATACGTTAAGTTATAATTTTTTCTTTTCAGATATTATTAGTAACATACCCACTTCAATTAACACACAAAAATATCCCCTTTATTTTATCTTAAAATTGTATCAACTTGAGATTTTTAAATAGAAACAAACATGTTTAACTGACTTAGAAAAAGAAAATTATCTAACTAAGGAAATGACTGATCAATAACTACTATTGAACAACCCATTAAAAAATATACGTATTTTTACGTGTTGGCAGGAAGAGAAAAGTGGTTTAGAAATGCTTAGAAATAATAACAAATATACCAGTTATTCACTGTCATCTTATATGTTAATAATTATCGACCAATCATTTTTTATTTGTTAACCACTTAATGTATATTTCCATTTAAAAAAACTCAAGTTTCTACGATTTAATAGGAAAGGAAAAGGGATAGATCTATATTATTTTTTGTTAATTATAGTGGTTAAAATACTAATAACTTCTGAAATGAAAAACTTATTTAATATTTTTGTAGATTATGTGCCAGACATAGTAAGTGGGTATATTTGTTCTTATTTTAATCAAATAATTTAAAAGTTGCAAGAATAGAATGTTTTATGATCTTCAATGATTGAAGTTCAATCATAACATTATAGTTATAAAAAGATAATATTTTGCATCCCATTCTGGAAAGGTAAATTATTGGTACTTAAAAAAGTTTCCATTGCACGACAGAAAGTCACTAATAGAGTTCTCCTTTTATTTGTAAAAACTGTTAAAATAGTATCGATAAATAAAACGTCTTATTAATAAATTCTATAATCTTATTAAGTATTAATAATAAATTATGAAGTTGTATAATGTGTTATATTTTATGAATAAGGTAAAATTATATAATACAAATTGATCACTTGTGGCTAATTAATTAAGTAAAATTGTAGACCACCAATCTTGTCAAAATTTGGCAAAAAGTTAGTTTATGAAATTGATGACTTATTCGTTTTTAAATGGCCGATTCATTTACAATACATTTTGTTGAATAATTGAGACGTTGAAAAGAACATTTACTAAGTAAGGATGGGACATTGATCCTAGACACAATTTTAAAAGTAAAAACAAATAATTCGTCTAATTAAAGAACAATGGGGGAAGTAAAAATATTTTGAATTTTTCCTATTTATTGTGGGTAAATTGTTATTTGTTTTTATAATTAATTAAAAACATTTTTCAGAGTGCAAATATAGATTAGGATTCTAGCACGAATCTTTAAAAATTACTTTATAAAATAAAATAAAAATTGTAAAAAAAGTTTATAGCCAGATCAGTTTATTATATTCGCAGATAATTCGGATATTCTGGATAAATGCACATCATATCTTCAAATTCAGTTGTGTTGTGATGAGATTTATCCAGAGAGTCCGGAAAATTTGCATTACCGTACAAAATGACAAACCGAATTTTACAAAGTAAGAAAAAAACAGTGTATCTAACTGTATGAACGTAACAAGCATTTGTTTGTTTTCAACGATAATTAAAACAGACATTTTATTAAGTTATATACCNTTTTGTAAATAAATTTTAATATTTTAATAATTAATATATTAAAAAAAATTAAATTGTTAAAATTAAAAAAAAAACGACAATTCAAATATTTAGTCTTTTGATATTCCTAACAATTGATTATCTATTAGTATATATAATATATTTTAATACATATAAATGTATATATAATATTGAATTACAGATACTAGGTTGTAAAAGTAAAATTTTTAATTAATAAAAAGCATTATACTTTAAATGTTGTAATTTTTGTTAAATTCCATATAGAATATAAATAAGTTTGGTTATATAAAATAACTCATTTAATTTTTGTAATAGAATTGCATTTTGAATTTCTTTTTAAAAATGAGTGGGTTGGCATGAGTGTCCTAAAGTTTTCAATTTTGTATATGTTATTCTTATATAGCGACATTAGTATTATCATACGTTTATAAGACTTTTTAAATTATATTTTCTGTTCATTATGATACTTAAATTAAAAGTTTTTTTCCAGATTATATATTTCTTTCGTGGATCAAAAACCTTCAAATGTTGGTGTCCAAAGAACTACCTTAGAAGAAATACTACAATAATTAAATGAATACAAATTATATTTAAAATTTGTTAATAATATAATATATTATTTGGAATTATAATTGTTATTTTATTTATAAAAATTGTAGTTCTAATTATAATATTATAACTTATCATAATACCATTAGATGCATACTCAATAAATGATAAGTGTAAATATATGGGACTTTACTTCTGAAATTATTTAAAAATTGTGTGTATTGTTATATAAATATATTTTTCAGAGTAGGAAAAAATTAATTTAGCGTACAATTTTTTTTTTTTACATTTACATTTATCCAAAATTTGGTAAAAAAACAGCTAAATATTTTCAATCTCAAATTTATGAATATGCATACTAGTATTATAAGAATACGACTGAGTATTGACAAATCGTTTTTGTATTTTAATTATAAGAGTGAACCTTAAAATAAAGAGTTTTGAAATTCAATTTTACTAACCATTACTTCAAACTTTTTTATTTTTAAAAAAAATTTAAGCAAATTTTGATATCGTTAAGTAAACGTTAACACGCTAATGAATAAAAATAATTTTGAACTTGTATTTTGTACTTTTAGTTACATATTACTCTGAAACTATTATCTTACATTTTTACTTAGATTCTTAGGCCTTGTGAAAGTGACAACTTCGTTTTTTCACATGGGAAAACGTATTTTAAATTTTATAAAATGTTTAAGGTTTTTTTTTAATATTAAATAGCGTTTCAATTTTTTAAATGACTTTATCAGACTTAATACTTTCAATTTTCAATTTCTAAGTTAAAATGCATAATATAGAAGAGGCCCATGAATACCAGGCCACTATGAACATATGGTGAATCTCGCACTATACTTTATTTTAGAAGCTATATGCTCCCTATACATAATTTTTAAATATATAATTTATATTTTTAAAGGGGTTTGAAAACCTACTAAACTAATAACAAAAAAATTTTTAAATCTACTATATAAACACATTTAAAAATTCTTCACAATAATGAGATTAATTATTTCATATTATAAAACTAATGTGTAAAGTGAATATAATAATTTAATATAGAAAAAACAGTAGATGTATTTCAAAAATTAAATTATATGAATGAACTGAGTGAAAAATCACTACTAAAAGAAAGAAAAACTTTAAAATAATATGATTGTTTTGTAATTTATTTAAATGCTTATATTTTTTGACAAATGAATAAAGACAACTTTTATAGGTTAATTTTTTATGTGTTATAAGATTATTATTTTCCTAAATAACATAAATATTTCACCAACTTATACATTATTTAATGTGGTCTAATCTAATTAAGAAAATGACTGGTTGACAACATATTTTGAACCATTATTTCGAACTTAAAAGTAAAAAATATAAATTGGATATGACTGGAAAATTCCTTGCACTTTCTACTACCCAAATATTAAATAATTATTTAAGATTCAACAATTTCTTTTGATCAGTTATTTTCTTAATTAGATCAGATTATATTACAAAAATTAGATTAATATAAAGAGTGTTCCGTGTGGTTAATTTTGACTATCTAAGAGATATTCAAATGATTAAATTATAGTTGGACACCCAGAATATACTTTGCCATTATAAAATAATCAATAATGTTAAATAAAGAATAAAATGAAATATAAAAGCCCACAGGGGGGGATTTTAAATGACAACTTTTTCACAAAAAATTAATTTTTTCAACTTGACTTTTAAAGGTGTTCCGGAAAGTCTGACACTTTTATATATATCTTAAATTAAAGCTAATGTAATATACTTTATCATAAAAAAAAAAAATTTCGGACTTTATTTTATCTTCTCGGTGAAAATGGTTACTAAATGCTATTTTTGTGTGAAAATGTTCGATTTTGTATTTTACATTTTTAACTTTAAAATACTATGACTTTTTAAAAAATTTATGGATCAATACAAGTTTTTCATGAAAAGTAGTATTTATATACATCTTTCATTCGGCATAATTTTTTTTTAAATAGGACCATTTCCCTATATACGAGGGGGGTTCAAATACGATTTTTGTAAAAAAATTCTTTTTTATATTTTTAACTTTATAATGCTATAACTTTTTGAAAGATGTATGGATCAATATAATATAATATAATATAATATAATATAATATAGATGCATGATGTCTTTACCTATCATATTTATACCTGACCCTTTACCTGCTCACAGGGGGGGAATTAAAATGTCAACTTTTTCACAAAAAAATTTCTTTTTCAACTTATATTTTGAAAGTGTTCCGGAAAGTCTGACACTTTTATATATATCTTAAATTAAAGCTAATGTAATATTTTTAAAAAATGTATGGATCAATATAATTTTTTTTGTATAGATGCATGATGTCTTAGCCTTTTATTGGGTATATTTTTTTTTATAAATCTTTATTATGGAAAAAAGAAAAATTTCGGACTTTATTTTGTCTTCATGGTGAAAATGACTATCAAATGCTATTTTTGTGTGAAAATACTAGATTTTATTTTGTACATTTTACATCAATACAATTTTTATGAGAAATAATATTTATATCCCTCTTTTATTCGACATATTTTATCTTAATCAGGATATAAATAAGGAAATAGCAGATCATGTAGATTTTGAAATAATCCATCATTTTTTTTAAACTAAACACTATCTAAAGATTTGCATCGAAGCGTTTTTTTTTTTTTATAGTGATTTTAATCACTGTCAGATATTACTATACTTGATCCATCTATGCCACGTCACCACTATGCCGCGACCCCCCTGTGCTGGGTTTTTTTTTTAATTTTCACTATTAGTTGTGTGTAAAATTAACTTATGTGTTAAAAATATCATTTTTGTGTAGTTAATTTTTTACAGTGTACTTTTTAAACTTTGTATCGAAGCAAAGAATCTAATGAATCAAGACATAAGATAATTAGAACTTATTATTCTAACGAAACCAAAGCAACAAAATATAAGAATTAAAAATTTTAGTTGTCACAACTGATTAATAAGTTTTTAGGATTTAAAATCTTTTGTTTTCCAAATTTTCAATAAAAATAATAACTATTTAAATTATTTTCTATATGATTATGAAGGATAAAAAATCTGTTTTATTATATTGGAATATGAATTAGTATACAGTTGTGTAATAGTAATTCTCCCTAGTTATTACGGTTACTGATTTTTTTAATACATTTGACCTTCAGAAGTATCATACTTTTTAATTTTGACCATAAATTATATAATTGATTTTTTTAAGCTTTCAAATATTTCTATAATGTTACACAAGATATAATCAAACATAATAATTTTTTTAAACGTGTTCCGTTAAGATAAACATTACACTAGTATAACTAAAAAATGTTTATTTTTAATTATCATGTTTGTCATAATTACATAATTTAAAAACTGAATGTTAATATGTTTTTATTAACTGTATTTATTGATATTAGTTATAGACTTCACAATTCTTATTCAACAAGTATTTAATATATCATCTCATGAACAGATTTTTAAAAAATTTAAAAAAAATTAATTGAAGATTAGTTATTTAGTTCTACAAAAATGTCTTTTTTAAAAGTTGAAACAAATATTCCTTTATCTGAAATCAATGATTCATTTTTTATAGAAAGTACCGACATTCTTGCTAAAACTCTAAATAAATCACCATCTGTGAGTGAATTAAGCTATTTTAACTATCTATATATTTTTTATAAAATGTATTTTATCTTACAGGAAATTTCTGTATTTGTAAATGCAGATCAGCCAATGATTTTCGGAGGATCACAAGAACCAGCAGCTATTGTGGTACTTCAAAGTGTGGGAGGAATAAGTCCAAACAATAACAAAAATCATTCAGCTGCACTTTTTCCGTTAATAAGTAAACATTTAAAAGTACAAGAAAATAGGTACGTAATATGTATATAAAAATAAATGTACAATTCCAACATTTAACAACACACAAAACAATAATAATTTTTCCCCTTTATTAGTTAAAGGACAATATATAAAAATATTAAAAAAAATTATACACTTAAAATCTGTTATAATATTAGAGTATTTGCTAAAATAGATTTATAACATAGTTAATTGATAAAAGAAGTCACTTATCAATGACACTTTCCTAATGATTTTTATGTTTTATTTTTTATTTTTACTGAAACAAAATTTTAGTTAATCTTTTTGTTCGTTACTATTTAATAATAATAATCATGAAAACCAATTTATGCTGCTTACAAAAAATTATTAATGAGAAAAATTTTACATCGAAACAACAATATGTAGACATTTATTTAATTTTATTTATTTAAAATAGAAATTTACCTTTGATCAATATATTGGGTCATTATGAAATTTAAGTATTTTTTAGCTTTCTCGTAATTACACCACTGATAGTAATTTCAAGTTGATTGTGCTTTATATTATTGTACTAAATTTAAGTATATAGTTCAGTTGGTATAATTAAAATGTATAGTTTTTTTTGGGACTGGATCTGATTATTTTTTATAATGTCTTAAATTTTAATGTAATAAAAGTACCAAATTAAACAAAATGAAAATATAAAATTGTTAGACGAATTATGTTTTCTCCAGTGACATTTGTACTTCAAATAACCCCTACATATTATGCTTATTATTATTACTAATTCCAATAATTAAAAGAAAATGTTTTTTACAGAATCTCCATCGCGTTCAACGCAGTAGAACCACATGACGCTGGAGTCAATGGAAAGACATTTATTCAATGATTTAAAAATAATTCATAAAATTTATTACAGTTTTTAAAGGTAAATTAAGAACTTATTCTAAAAAAAATAATATATTTGTAAATTTTTTTGATCATATCTGTAAGAGAAATGAGTAATCAACACATGGAATAAAAATATTATAATATCATCGTTCATATATAAATATATTTATAAATATTTTACAAAATATTTTATTGTATCACGTTTATTGTATTAAAGTTAATTAAAAATGTCATTTGATCGCTTTTATACAAAAATAAATAAAAATAAGTAAATAAATTAACTTTGATGAGTAATAATTTTTTGTACAAAAATTAAACGTGTTTATTTTCATTGGTTTTTTAACATGAAGTTCCCAAGTTTTATTTACATTAATCATTATTAATGTAACAATTCTAGATGTCTACAGACTCATGGTAACTAAAAACTGAATTGCAAAAAAATGTTTGTTAATTGGTTAAACAAATTTATTTTAAAGATTTACTAAATAAATATATAGAGTAGTTAAAACATTTATCATAATTGTTATTAGATCAACTATTTAGCAAAAACAATCCCCCAACATGAAATTAGTAAAAAATATCTGACATATTTTGTGTAGTGTTATTACAAATTTCAAATTTTTTAGTTTTATTAAAACCCTTTATTCGTATATGCAAACTTATTATTGGGTTCGGGACTATATGAATTTAGAAAATTTGGGGAGACCATTTCCCGAGACACTCTACTCCATGAAAATTTATCATATGCATATACAGTACTACAGGAACTATTTTTTTTCTTGGTGGATAGTGATTTGGGGGCATGTGGCCTAAACTAATATCCTAATTAATATACATTGATTAGGATTAAAAAAAAATTAACGAATATCTGTTTATCATTGATGTACTCGTAATGACTAAAATTAACTTAATTAACAAAAAAAAAAAAATATATATATATATATATATATATAAAATTATTTATAATTTATAAATTATAAATTATAAATAACATTATTCAAGTAGTAGTATAATAATAATTATTAAAAAATCAAATAATTTTGAACAACGAACTGTGTTTTTTTACAATGTAATTAAGGTGCAAAGTAGCCCTATTTTACAGTAGTTGACTAAAAAACACTAACATCATAAGAAATAGTGATATGATGCTATCAAACATATCTGATGGATATGCACCTGAAAAAGAACTATATAACAATCAAACTATACTAATCAATGACACTGAATTATACAATATTTATGATTTCCATTATAAATTATACACATATTTATCATTTAAATAAAAATTATAGTCATTATTTGACTACAACTTCAACAAAGACATTAATAGTTATTGACATTCTTAAAATCCAGATAAACCATTACGCATTTCTCACGTGTCCTTGTTGTTCATTAAACAGTCTCTTATATAGCAATTACTACGTAGTCCAACGATTGATTTTGACCAAAACTTTAGGTCACATTTAATGAGACATCATTCAGCTTTAGGTGTGCTTTGCTTCTGCTCGAAAGAAACTTAATAAATTTTCCCATATTATTCTGAGATACAGTTTTAGTAAAATGTCGGAGGATTCAGTAATTTTTCGATTATGCAATACTCTAAGTCGTCATTATATCTACTGCATTATAAAACATCCAACCTTTGGGCCTTATTGAACTGTGTATTCAAGCATTAAGATCTATTAAACTGTCGTCAATATGGTAATGATAATGAAATCAGACATAAGAGTGTGAATAAAACTTTCTATGAATAAATCATCCAGTGGCATTCTCTACATTCTCTTATAGAATATTGGTATCCGTATTATATTTATTGGGTATAAAAATTGTCAATACTAGGAAAGACTGAGATAATAAAAGTTGAGATGGTAAAAATTACTATAATTATAATAAAAAATTATGAAATAATGTTGAATAATAAACAAAAAGGAGGCTATAACCTGTCTTAAAGACAAAAATAAAAAATTGTTAGCTATTGCTTTACATTTCATGAAATTTGTAATTACATAATTAATAAACCAACATATTTGATGATGAATTAATCATAAATTAAAATATCGGTTATTAAATAAATTTAAATATTAAAATTATAAATTATAATATTTTTGATAATTATGAAATTGATTTACTAAAAACTGCGGATGTTTGGATAAAATAAAAAATCGTAGATATTTATTAGTTTTAAATATTTTATTAGCTATATTTTTAGTATTTTTACTTATTTATATTGATAAATTATATATTTTTTATATTTCCTGTAATAACTTATATTAAGTAAATGTTATGCAAAAGATTTTTTATTTATAACGTTATTATTATATAATTTTCTTTAAACTTTCAGCTAAACATGAAATAAAAAAAAAAAATTAAATGACGCCACTGGTTGCCAGATCAGTTAATGTTCAACATTACTACAAAATAAAATAATAAATTTGATCTACACAACAAATGCAATTAAAATAAAATATTTTTCATTAAAATTTAGTAGAAAATTTTGTGAAATAACGCAAGCCTTTAAAATATTACTTTATTTACTATATAAAGGTTTTACATCATATACATATATAATGAAATCATAATAAAAAATGTGTGCTAATTATATTTTTAATTTTTTCTTGTTATAAAGTATATTTTTATACAAATTTTCAATATTTTTGGAGGAATCTAAGATAAAATTATAAATATTCTATGATAATGAAAAATATTTTTTCATTAAATATAAGTTTTCAAAAAATTAATGAGTTTAAAATTTATACAGTCATTCTGTAGTTTTGCGTGATATTACTTAAAATATAGAGTAATAACATGCACTAAGTTTTTTTTATATATCAACAACATTTAATTGTTGGGTATTTAATTGTAAAATTTAATCTATCTTAACAGTATACGTTCTTAAAATATAATAATTATAAATGTTATAATTATTATATATATGTTATAAATATAAATAAATAATGAAAATAATTATTAATTCAATATGATTAGTTAAGTAATGAAATACACAAAATACAAAAATATTTAAAGTATGTAGTGAATCAAAAAAAAAAGAATACTTTATTGTATTAATGAAGTGGGGGGTTATTATTAATTGTATTAATTTAGGGAGTACTTTGACAGTTGCTTAAAAGAAATAAGTTAAATGNGGAGCTACTTTGACAGTTGCTCAAAAGAAATAAGTTAAATAGAATATGACGGGATTTTGATTCTTATTTGATCCACTACTTTATTGTATTAATAATATTATTACTCGGGATATGAGTACGAGGGTCTGTAAGAAAGATAGAAGATGATAGAAAAATAAAGTGATCTTTATTTTATTAATATGGGATTTATTATAATTAATTGTCAATTTTTAAATATCAATAATGCCACGAGTTTTGACGGTTATCGATGATAGGTGGGATTGAGTCACCTCGTGTGTCTACCCAGAGTGGTATGGTGGCTATACATATGAACCTCCAACCTAACTCCTGAAATAGACACGTATCAACGATATAACTCTGCCAAGTAACTCTGTACAAACATTATCGATTTATTAAATTTACTTGGTATATTTATTATTATTGATAATCACTTGATTTTCCTGTATGCCTACTTAATCTATGTACTCATAAAATTTAATTCTAAACCTTATTTATTTTTGGTGAATTTATTAGATTCCTACTTTGATATTTTCTGCGATACTCTTAAATAAATAGATGTTGTATTTTTTTGTACAAATATAATTGTGTTGACGGCGGATCACTTCTTGCATATATTTCGTTGTGTGGAATGATCGAGCGTAGTGAGTGCCTCTGTAAATATCTGACTGCATCTGTCCCAGAATGCTCTTTATTTTTGGCTTTTTATACTAAATTTGATCGTAGTTCAAAGGCAAGAAGTGATCCCCGACGCCACCGTTATTTCTTTATTAATCGTAATTTATTACATGTTATTTATTACATTTTTATCAATAATGATCTACATATTATAAAATACTATTATATCTTATATAATAAATTAGACATAGTTTATCACCCTTCATCTTATGTGCTACTATTACATATTGTTTATTATTTCCTATTTGTTTTATATAATTAATACATGCTTTTTTCTACAAAATTTCATTAGTATATTTAAACATTTAAAAGGTCATATATATAAATCTTATTTTTATTGGTATTCATTTCATTTTGTGTGATTGATTGATTGAACTCTTAAATAATACATTATAATATTAATGATGTACTATGTATATCATTACAAGTAACATCGAATTTTAGCTTCGATGCGAAGATAAGAAGATATTAATTTTAATATATTTTTGTTTGTTATTTAGTGTCTTTTACTACTTTTCAGCTTTCACTGGACCGATTTTGATGAACAAACGTCAAAAGATCACAAATCAAATTTAGTCTAGGACATTATCCTCAAAACTTGAAAAAGCTTTCCTTATTCTCTGTAAATAGGTGAAATCCTACAAAAAATAACAAATTTAAAAATTAATATTTTTTATTATTAATTACAGTGTTTTTACTTAAAACTGTCATAACTTTTTCAAAAATGTATGGATTAAAAAAAAAAAATTTTCAGATATATTAGGTATCTACTTATTTAGCATATTTTTTAATAATAATAATAATAAACCAGAAAATGTTCTGGAAATACTGCGTCCTTTAAACATATATCAAATTAAAGCATATTTTATGTACTTCAAACAATTAATTCATTTCTAATGTTTTTAAAGTATTTATTGTCGAATATGATAATAGGTTTCAACTACAAAATTATATAATTTTTACCATAATGTGTTTTTTTTTTTTTATGTCTGTTGCCACTTCTTCTCAGCTCTCACTGGACCGATTTCTTTCAACAGTAATACGTCAAAAGATCACAAATCGTATATAGTTGAAGACATTACCCTTAAAAATTGAAAAATTTTCCCCGCAAATGGGGGAAATCTCCAAACAAATTACAAATTTAAAAAAATTTGTCACGACACTTAATCTTTTGCATGCAAACGGCTGCCGTAGTTAAAAAAACGCTATTTTTGTGTTAAAATTTTCGATTTTGAATTTTCAACTTAAAAATGCTAACTTTTCGAAAATTATATGTATTAGCAAAAACTTTTTTTCTAAATACATTATAAGTACATCTTTCATTTGACATACTTTATATTAAAAGTGGATAATTTCCCCTTATATAGGGGGCGTTCAAAACTTGAAACATTGTATAAAAAATAGAACTTTTTCAACTTAATTTTTGAAAATGTTTCGGAAATACTGCGTCCTTTAAACATATGT